CTGCCGGCGGCGGCAGCGGCGGCGGCGGCAGCAGTAGCAGCAGCAGCAGGTTCGGCAGGAGTCCCAGCGGCAGATCAAGCCAGGCAGGTGCTCAGACCGGGGCTACTGCTGCCGCCACAGCTGCCACCGGCGCGGCTACTGCTGGCGGGGCTACTGCTGCGACTTTCAGGGCTTCGGAGCCACGTCCCAGTTTTAACTTTGAGCAGATTCTCGAGGACTTTGTGGTGCTGACCTTCTTGGTGGGTTGGACGAGCGAGGGGCGAGAGGGTAAAGAGTGTGTGTATGGGGTGTGTACGGGTGTGGAGGAGGAGGAGGAGGCTGGATGGCACCCTGGGGCCGCCTCCTTCCCCCACACAGCCCTTCAGGGCTCTTGTGTTGCTAACTTTATAATGTCTTCGTGCGCATACAAACATTTCCCCTACCCATACACACACCCCCATATACACGCACACATACACACACCACACACCACATCACATACCCCCATGCGTGATTCCTATATGGACTCAAAATTGCCGTACTTCCAGGCCGGCAACGACTTCCTCCCCCACGTGCCCTCCATCGACATCTACGACCTGCCCTCGGGCCTGGAGCTGCTGATGGTGTCGTACAAGGAGCTGCTGCCGCAAATGAAGGGCTGCATTACACAGGTCGGGGGTGGTGCAACTGGCTGGTGGGGGTTTGTCGTACATGGATATGACACGCATAACATGACGTCAGCAGCTGGCGGCCTCCAAAGCACCGGGTGCTGTGGGTGGCTGGTAGTTGGTGGCTGGTAGTTGGTGGCTGGTAGTTGGTGGCTGGTAGTTGGTGGCTGGTAGTTGGTAGGGGGACTTCCGGAAGATTGACTCGATTTTACCCAACCCCACCCATCCGTCACCCCCTAACCCCCCTGCCCCATCTGTCACAACACTCTTTCCTTGGCAGCAGCTTCACTCGCTCGTGGTTCGTCTTTTCCCCCCTTTCCCCCTACCCCGTAACACCCCCCTTTTGGTGTCAGTTCTTCACTCGTTCGTGGTGGTCCTTCTTCCCCTCCCCTCTTCAGGGTGTGGGCCAGATCAATGCGACCCGACTGACGCAACTGTTCAACAAACTTGCGAGGGACGAGGAAGCGGCGTTCGTACGGAGGGCGGTACGGCACCACGCGCGTGTCGGGGGTGTTTTTTGGGAGGAATGTCTCCAGGGTCCGAGCGGATGGCGAGCCGTGAGCGGTCGTACTTCAAG